CGTTCTGCTTCCTCTTTTGCGATTCTACGCGCGTTTTACTTTTGCGACCACCGTCAAGTCCGTCCGAACTGTTGTTGTCTCTGCCCTTTGCACGACTCTCGCGAGCGTTCGCGCTGGGCTGCTGGGGTTGTTTGAAAAAACAACAACACCAACAACAACTCACCAACACGGAACACGAAAAAAAATTTAATAACAACAGCAACAAAAACGGCGTACAAAAGAAGAAGAAGACGGCAATTCCAAGCAGTGAGCGGACGAGCGCCCCGCACGTAATTCTCGTTTGTTGTTGGCTGTTTGGCGTTGTCGCTGCGTTTGCCTAGCTAAACTTGCAAGCTTGCTGCTAAAAAGTAAAAGATACAATACGCACACACACACTCGCACACACACGTACAAAATGTTTGCAGGAGCGCGCGCGCCGCTGCCTCTGCTCTGCTGCTGCTGTTGTTGTTGCTACTGAGCCGCAGAGCAAAAGAGAGCGAGCGCACGCTCTCCAACAGTGAAGTTCACACGTTAAGGTTGCCACCTGACAAGTTTTTTTTTTCGTTCTGGAAATTAACTGCGATGTATTTTTGAAATATGTGATAAAATTAATTAAATTTAAAACCCGTCAAATATCATGAACAGCAAAATCATCTAAAGAAATGTTTAAAATAAATTAATTATATTTTGACATGCATATATGCCAAATAATTGTTTAAGCTATGAGCCAAATACATGAATTTGTAAATATTTAAATAGCCTTATTATGATCCTTATTTAAACTCATTTAAAAATGCACACATATTAAAAATATGCAATAATCCAGCAAGAATGTGGCAAATTGAATGAAGAATTCTATTTTGTGACTTCCATAATTTGAACTTGATAAATGCTAAAGCAAATATACAAAATTCGGACCCAATGGTGTACGAAAATGAAAATGGGCAAATTCTTAAAAAAATTAAAATTTTGGAAAAACATGTTTCTTAAGTCCAAAGCTTATTTTACGGATCGTAAAAGAGTTGCTGAATGTTTTTTTTAGAATCACTTTCTTTAATTTTTGTTGCTACGCAACAAACATAAACAAGCTAAGAAAGAGAGAGAAACAAGTCGATTGGGAAATGCGCGCAGAAATCTTTGACCACAATGAAAACAAACAGAAAAGGCGGCAATTTCGGATATTTGGCAGCTGTTACAACAAAAAATGAAAGAAAAAAACAAACTGCCTAACTGCGCCAATTGCCGTTTTAATGCGCCGTGTTTGCCTTTTTGTTGTAGTTGTTGTCGCAGATGCGCAATAAGATGAACAACAACAATGGGAACAACGCACATTGTAATAATGAAAACAAACAAACAATAATGTGCCAGCGCGCCACATCTGGCAACGCTGTTAAACCAACAAACATGACATCACTTTTTTTTTTGCGCACTCACAAAAATGCAAAGTAATGTGAAGAGAGCGGCCCCAACCAAAGAGCGCACGCTCGCGCTCTCTCATTCTCGCTCACGCTCTCTCTCTCCTGCTGCTGCTGTTGCTGTTATACACAGCGCGAACAAAAATAAAAATAATAACATAAGAAACATAAACACGTAACTATATAAAAAGGTAATCTCGAGAGCCATTGGGGAAGCTGACTGATAAATGGAAATCGCTCGAGCTGTCTGTGGAGAATGAGTAATAGGGTGAGGGAAGGGGGGTAAGGCACACAAAAAAGAATTGAAACGGGAGCAGCAGCGCGCGTCTGTTTTGTTTTTTGTTTTCCATTTTCTTCTTATTTTTTTTTTGTTGTTGTTGTTGCTTTTGGCAGGGCAACTGTGCTTGACAGTTAATAAACAGGGTTGCCACACGGCGCCGTTTGGCAGGCAGGCGGCAGCCGTTGATGCTGATGCTGACAATTGGGGACGTTGTGTGTCTATTGTTGTCGATTGCCGCCGCCACAAACTATTCAGAGCGCACGTACAGAATGCGCGTCTGTCTGTGTGTGTGTATGTGTGTGTGTGTTTGCGTGTGTGTGTATGTAGGTAATAGGGCTGACTGACTGCGCGACTGACCAGCGGCACAATTACCGTTAGCATTACACACACAAAATGTGACAATGGCTGACTTTTTGCTGGTGCTGCTGTTGCTTCTTCTTCCTGCTGACATGCTTGTCAAGTGTGTGGGGCACCGGAAAATCAATCGACTGACTGACAGCTCACACACACACACACACACGTACTTTCACAGTAGATATCTCGTATGTAGATTAATATGGGCACACACACACGTACACACACAAGCGCAAGGTGCTCGAATTTCAAGACATTCACTTGAAAATTACCAACGAATTGCTGCCCGATCGGGGTATGGGTCCGGGTCCGGGTACGTATCTGGGTCTCGGTGCGGGCCAACTGTGAATGCCACAGCCTCACCTCAACCCAACCCAACCCAACCCAGCGCAACTCATCTCATCTTATAAACGTAATCAATAATAACAGCAAATGCTGTTGCCTATTCTTATTCTTCTCCAGTTATATACCCTTACAGTGGGCATAATAATTTTATTACCAAATATGTAACGTGCCCTACCCCAAAAAGCATGTATCGGATTACTTTTCAATAGCAAAGTACGAAAATATATTTTTGTAAACAGAATTGTAACTCTATACGAGGGAAACACTTTCCAAAATAAAACTTTAAGAAATCCTATTAGATTGGGCACTTAATTATCTAATATTCAATTATATTTTTTTATGAACAGAATTTAAGAAAACTATATAAATATTTTTTTTTCTAAAAAGATTCGCCGTTTCAAGTTAAACAGTTTTGTTTAGCGTGCGACCACTGTACCTGCCCTATATCAGCAAGTGTATTTCATCTTCGGCACTTCGAAGATAACTGTGCTAACGAAATTAGCTAACTGTGGTTCTTATATTGTGAACGAAAGAATATTCCATACAGCAAGTGGCACTCGATGACATCACGCGGCGCTTGAAGCGAGCGACCAACCGGCAAATTAAAGCTCACACGGAAACACAAACACAAACACACACACACACATACGCATATGGGTAAGGTCAAAAATGTGTGAGCTTGGCAGCTCTGGCAACGCCAACCTGCGTGCTATCGACAATTGCGCGTGTTATCGATGAGGCCACACGCAGAGCTGACCAAAGGCAATAGAACAAAACGTAAACAAAAGTGCGTGGGCGGCTTATCGATGAGCAGCTTAAGGCAGGGCTTAGTTATTAAGGCGCTGTGTGGGAGTGGCGCATTCAATAAGCAACGCCCACGCGCGCTTACACACACACACACACACAGACACAGACACAGAGGCACCTAAGCAGGCCCAAAAAGATGTGGGTCAACAACCACCAAATGAAGTTGACCTACATCATGCTTTAAAATGCACACACACACACATATACATACAGCGCGCCATTATGTAAGCAATGACGACGACAGCGCAGTTTAACGGTATTCAAAGCTTTACAGCGGCAGCTGCTGCTGCTGCTGCTGCTGAGAACGCGCAACTGCAGCGCCGGCGCAGATAGAAACAGTTAAAAAAACTCCAATTGGAGTTGTTGGTGGTGGCATGCAAAATGCTAACAAATTGGAATGGGTCAGAGAGGCAGACCGGGAGAGAAGAGAGTTAGAGAAAGAGAGAGAGAGACAGAGGAAGAGCAACTGGAGTTGGTAAACAGAGCGCCGCATCCTGTGTTAAAAACGTTTGTGTGTGTGTGTGCATGTATCTTATCGTAAAATGAAGTTTGTTTTTTTTTTTTTAACTCCACCGTAATTATCGATTAAAAAGTTTGGGGTTTATCTTTTGGCGGGGTTGCTGTTGCCTGTTTGTGTTTGCGTTTGTTTCGAACGGGGAGCCTCAGAGTTCATTGCATGCTATTTGGGCTGAAAGGGGGTGTGTCTGATTTAGGCGTAATGCCAGCTCAGCCAGCGGCTTAGTTATAAGTTGGCCTCAAATATCAAGTGAAAGCTGCCAAAAAAAAAATTTACAAAAATCACAAAACACTAAAAACTGATGCTCTTTTGTGCTTTATTTTTTTTTAATGAGCGATAAAAGTAGGCCTAATTCAGGGCACATCCATACATAAAAAAAAAAAAAAAAACAACAAGAACTCAGTACTTGTGTACAAAGCAGAGTGTAAAAAAAAGGGTTCATTAACTTTGAGCTGCTGCGCTAGAGATGGGCGCGTGAGTCAAATTTAAGCTCTGCATTTCATGTGCACGAATTGCAGACAAACATTTTTTTTTATCATAGCAAATTAGTTAAATTAGCCACGAGTTATGCAAAAATCATTTAATTATATATACCTTGATTTTACCCTTTCTAGAAATGCTCGTATGCAATTATTTTCCAGTTTCGTTAAAATTGAGCACTACAAACAGCGCTTGCTTCGATAAACAAACGCTTGTGACGTCACATCAACTCCCTTTAACGAAACGGGCAGATCCTGCTCACTAAAATGTGATCAACATTTTTCTATAGGCGTTTTTTTTTTGCTTTCTAGTTTCGTTCAATTTTCATGCTCAATAAGGACTTGCGTAAGTAAACATTCTGCTTGTTAAACCTTAAGCTGCCCCTCTCTTTCATTTCCCTCACTTTTATTGCTTGTTTTTCAGCTTCGTTAAATCTTGGTTCCCATGAGGTATCTCGCATTGCTTACATAAATAAATTTAGATCTGTGGCGTCACGTTCGCTGCCGCATAACGAAGATATAAAATCCTGTTCATTTAATACTGATCAAAACTGTAAGTTGCCCTTATCTTTCATTTCTCTCACACTTATCGCTTAATTGTTTTTTAGCTTCGTTAAATTTCGGTTCCCATAATGAATGACGCATTGCTTGCATAAATAAACCAAAAACTGTGACGTCACGCACACAGATTGCACTTAACGAAACCGCCAACCTCTAATTCTATTTCGCTTGCACTAATTACATGCTTAGTGCTAACATCTTCTCTTCTTCTTCTTCCTTTTCTTCTTTTTTGTTGTTGTTGCTTTCTTCTATGGAATACTCACTCTTCCTGCACCTCGATGCCGCTGTCGTCCATATTCAGTTTCGCATAGTCACCGTAAGTGCTGTTGCTGCTGACTAGCGGTAAATGCGTCGCTGCTGCTGTTATTGCTTGCGGCGGCTGACCAGCAGCAGCGCCGGCAGCATCGGCCGCATCGAAGCCAAAGTTGGGCTCCACATGCTCAGAGAGCGGCGTTGGTGTCTCAAATACTAAAGTCTCCACCATGGAGCCTTTGGAAGAGCCAAACGATACGCTGCAAGCGGACCGAAGAGAGCACAGGACACATAGAAAGAGGCAGAGAGAGAGAGGGAGAGACAAAATTCAGTTGATTGATAGCTGATCGGAAGAAAGCTTCTGAGCCTACGTACCGTTTGAGTCCAACGCTTTTGGTGCCCAGCTTGCTGAGCTTGGGCTTTTTCTGATTGGTGGGCGGGCGGTTGAATTTATCACTTTGATCGCTGGAGTCGGCCGCGCCAGCCGTTGTGGCCGTCTCCTCGGACAGATCGTCTACGTCGCTGCGATTGTTCTCGTTGTTGTTATAATTATTGTTGCTGGCCTCCAGATCGTTGTCGTTGTTATTGTTGGCGCCGCTGTGATTGTTGTTGCTGCTGCGGGACGGATGCGTCGCTGCATGGACCAGCGGCAGGGGCAGCGCCAGCGTTGTCGGCGGCGATGCTGCCAGCGGCGGCGTCGGTGTGCTGCCCAAAAGCCGTGTGCGCTCATCACAAGCGTCCGCTGTGACGTTGGTGGCAACAGCGGCAGAGGCAGAGGCAGCGACAGCGCTCGATGTTGACGGCACGTTAGCAAGCATTGCGGTTAACGGCGACGCGGTCGGTTTGAGCTTAACAAGAGTTTCGTTATGTTTCGTAGGCAGATTCACAATAGACGCTGCTCCTGCTGCATCATTTTGGCTGCTTGCTGTTGTTGTTGTTGGCGTGGCTAGCAGCATGTGCGTGCGTGAGTTGAATGCACTCACGAGTGGATCACGTCACGATCGCGAGTTTCGTTAAGCTAGCGGCGCGTTTGCGGGGGCGAGGTAGTTAGGCGCTTAAAGCTTCGTTCAAAGGCAATAATACGTAGAACAAAAACAACAGCAATGCGGCGTTGGCAATGTTTTATTTAAATTTTTTTTTTTTTGGTTTTTCCGTTTATTTTTTGTTGTTGTGTGTGCTTTATTTCTCTTGCCGCTTGATTGAATTTAAACCGGACGCAGCGCGGCGACGTCGACGCTCAATAATAATGACGACAGCGACAAATCTTGCATACGAATGCTTCGCTGTTCAGCGCTTTGGGGCCGCTGCGCTGCTCTGTGGCTGCGGCGGCGGCAGCCGCAACTGCGCCTTTTTTGTTTCACCTTTTTCTTTCACACACGGGCACAGACACAGACACACACACACACACACACACACACACACACACGTCGAGACAGCGACACAGACAGATATACACGACTTAATTTCCGCAACAGAATTGAATAGAATTTCCACAAGCACACAAAATATTAGCACCCAAAACAACAATACAAACAACAACAACAACAACGAAGACGACAACAAACGAAGGAGGCGGCAGCGGCTGCGCTCGATAATTGCACTTGGCACTAGAACGGACGAGGCAAAGCGACGCGACTGTGGCGCATTTATAACACGTTTCTGTGGCTAACAAGTTTATAAATAAATATGCATGTGCATTTAATAAATCCGTTTTGTCGACTGCCCCTGTTGCTGTTGCTGTTTATTTTGGCCCTTCTTGCGTCGCCGTGTGTATTTGCTGCGCTTCGAATTTCAGCCACTGCCGACAGTGTGGCTGACCTGTGTGTGAAAATATGCCGCAAAGATGACAGCAGTTAAATTTTGGCATAAAATGACTAGCTGACAGCTGGTCACACTAAAAACTAAGTTAACTTTCAAAGGTGTGCCCAAGCTGACCAGCTGTTTTGCGAGCTGGCAGTGCGCTGCGTAAAGTTACGGCGAGTTGGCAGCAAGTGTTTTGTGGATCAAGTTGAATATTTAATTTTTTTATAATAAATGTGTACATAGCTACTTAACAAGTATCGTAAGTATTTTTACAGAGGCGTTGCAAGTGTTGACGTGCATTAACATATGTATAGCGATAACATTGCTGGCAAAAGCTAAGTGCCATTTTGAGTAATAGCAGAAATACATTCTATAACTAATTAGAATGCTCAGATTGCATTGTTTGTAATAATTAATATAAGAAAACAAGCATTAATGTAGAAAGTTGGTACTTCTATGGTCGCCCGCATACTTTACATTAATTTAACATCACAGCTGTTATGTTAAAATACCATAAATGTAAAATACAGTCACACTGCACAGAGCTGCCTGTCGGCTGGAATTGCATTTATCGTATCGAATATAAAAGCTATCGTCCATATCGACACAAATAGCATTTGTCATCTGTGCAAACATCATACAACACAAGAAATAAGCTGCAGCGGCAACAGTTTATTTAAAAGTATTAACAACAAGACGTACATTTCGGCAACTGTAAGTATAAGTGAATTTAATTGAACCAAATAGAGAAGAAAGCAATCAATAACACAAAGCTGATATTGCGGCGATCGTTCAGTTGCTGCGCTGCCCAGCGCTCTGCTTGTGCGTCTGTGTGTATGAGTCAGCGTCGCGGCCCTATAAAAGAAAAGAAGCAGCAGCACAGTTTTACGATTTGTAAGTGATTTACGTGGAATTCGTGATAGCAGCGCATTTGGGGGCAACAAATGGGGCGCGGCTGTGGCTTATTTTCAGCAGCTGCACGCAACTGTCTGTGTGTGTGTGGGGATGACACACACACACGCAGGCACACAGAAGTCGCGCTTCTTGGCTGCTGTTTTCATTCCTTTTATGGGCTTTCAATTAAGCGAGGTTGCGCTTGTATTTGTGTGTGTGTGTGTGCTTTTTTTTTGTTATTCATTGAAATTTAACGAAACCGCATTGATAAACACACACATACACATATGGAGTCAGTCGTTGACGTTGTCATTTTTGCCATTTTGGCTGCATGACTCAAACACACACACATATTTCGCTGCCGCGGCTGCCTGTGTGTGTGTGTGCGGTGTCTGTTTTTATACTCCGCTCACAAAGTGTTGCAGGGTATATTGATTATGACTTAACTGTTTTCTATTAGTAATTAATGGTGCGAAATAGCGAAATGACTCGGATTAATATTTAAATTATGATTATTTAAATAACCCCAATTAATATAAACATCGTTTAAAACAAAAGCTTTAAAGCTATTTATAACTTGTATTCAGCTACAGCTTGCACTGTTGACAGGGTATCGCGCAGTCGATGCAGTTGTTGCATATTGAATTTGTATTTATTTTTTATTTTTATGTTGACACAGTTTGCAGCTTTTGCTGAACTTGCCGCTGCAGCAATGCCCTGGCTATATATAGACTTATTCGATTGCAACTAATTCCTATTTTATTTTTTATACTTTGGCTTTAGAAAACCGAACCGCACACACACATACATCACCAATATCGAATACACACACAGAGACAGCTCGAAGATGTCTTCCCGCAAAACCGCCGGACGTCGCGCCACCACAAAGAAACGCGCCCAACGCGCCACCTCCAATGTGTTTGCCATGTTCGACCAGGCGCAGATCGCCGAGTTCAAGGAGGCCTTCAACATGATCGACCAGAACCGTGATGGATTCGTGGAGAAGGAGGATCTGCATGATATGCTCGCCTCGCTGGGCAAAAATCCCACCGATGATTATTTGGATGGGATGATGAACGAGGCGCCGGGCCCCATCAATTTCACCATGTTTCTGACACTCTTCGGTGAACGGCTGCAGGGCACCGATCCGGAGGATGTCATCAAGAATGCGTTTGGCTGTTTCGATGAGGAGAACATGGGCGTGCTGCCGGAGGATAGGCTGCGCGAGCTGCTCACCACAATGGGCGATCGTTTCTCAGATGAAGATGTGAGTGCTTGCAATTGAGAATTTCATTCATTTCTTATCTCCATCTCTCTCTCGCTCTCCTCTGGCCAGGTGGATGAGATGTACCGTGAGGCGCCCATCAAGAATGGCCTATTTGATTATCTGGAATTCACACGCATACTGAAGCATGGTGCCAAGGACAAGGATGAGCAATAGGATTGTTGTACTTAAATTTGCCAACCGTTTTTGCGGCTGTTATAATTCCAGCTATTCATGTCCAACTGTCATACGAATCGTGTATTTTATACCTATATAGATATGCTATATAATATCCCTTTTTTATATATATATCTGATATATTTTATTTAATTTTTTTTGCCACTCGTTTTGTTCTGTCCTCTGTGCCTATCTGAGCATTTAAATTTGACATGTTAACATTTTTGTGCGAATGTGTGAACTGATAACACGATTTTTCCGATTTCCCATAAGTATTAACTCATATATATATATATACAAACACATACACACTCGCAGGCACACACACACACACACATATGCATACTATTTGCTGAGTGAGTCCCATTAAAAAACAGTTTGTTTACTTATCCTAAATGAATGCTTTATAAAATACGTGTCCGTCCACAGGTACATGGAATATGTACATATATATAAAGAGAATTATTTATGTATATATATGTTAGCTTAAGCCTCAAATGCGACTGTATTCAATGGTCTTTGGCGCCGCCTCGAAGCGCTTCTCCAGGCGCAACCTGTACGTCTCCAGCAGCTGATTGAGCACATCCGCAAAGAGTATGGTGCCAAAGAAGACCAGAATGGTGCCCAGCCAGTGGCTGAGGGTGAACGGATTGCGGAAGTAGATGATGGAGAAGAGCAGCGAGACGAACTTGCGCAGCGTGACCACCAAAGTAACAGTGAGCGAGGCGCACTCCGTGGTCAGCACATAAACCGAGCTGATGCAGATGTACTGGGTGACCACATTGCACAGCAGATAGAAGAGCATCAGCGGAAAGGCCAGAGACCAGCTGAGGCCTGGCACGGGCACAGCCACCGTCTCGGAGGCAACAGCTATCTTCCAGTGTTGGGCTATGTTGCTGGCCATGATTAGGAATCCGGGCAGGGGCAGCATGTGCGTAAAGAAGAGCGCCTCCCTGGGATGTTTGCCGTGCCGCTTGAAGATGACCTCCTGGTAGATGCCCATGTACGCCGTGACCAGCAGTGCGACGGTGAGCAGAGCAATGCCCACGCTCCACCAGAAGACGTCCGAAAAGGATGTCTCCACCTTAAGAGTGGGATGCGTATTATCCTTGACATCGCCACTGGATACCAAAGTGCACAGCACGATACCCGCCGAGATCATGGCCACGGAGCTATATTGCCTCAGATTGTAGCGCTTCTTGAGCAATATGATGCCCATGATCATGTTGGCCATCAGCGAGCCGCTGCGAAAGATCATGTGCAGGGGCATGGGTATGTTGAAGTTGAACGCATAATTGTTGCACACATTCGCGCCAAAGAAGAGCACCACGAGCTTCACGTAATCTTTGAGCGCGATCTTCGGACGCACCGTAAAGAACTTCGAGGTGAAGATGAGACCCTCCAGCGCAATGAAGAGGAACTGCAGGAATGTGATCAGATTGCCCGCACCGGGATCTATTTTGATGATCAGCTCCAGGAAGACGACGTTGCTGCAGCAGCCGACAAAGACAAAGATCATGGCAAGCAGAGCCTTCAGATTGAATGCCATGTTGAGTGAGTTATCCTTATGCGATAGTTCTGGGTTTTGGCTGGACGAGGAGCGACGTCTGTCAGCTGAGGTTAAAAGGTAGAAAACAACTTCGTGTGAGAAGAGGGAAATGAAGAATGAAATATAACTGCCAAACGCTATCAACGCGTTTAAAGATAACTCTTGTTCAACATAAAACTCTATGATTAATTGTACTATCTGTTCGCTTCCCCCGCCAGACAAGAAAAGCTAAAAAGCATTTGGGAACATGCCGAACACTCAACAAATAGAATATGGTAAAAACTTAGGAAGCACTTGGAAAAGCCATTTAAAAAATAATTTAAATTCTAGTTTATTTCTTTTACAAATTGTGCCTTGGCGAGGAAATTGAACTAAATGCATAAAATTGACAAGAAGCAGCTCCAAGAATCGGTAGAATTATCAGAAGTGGAACAGATAAAAAAAAAAAAAAATGAAAACGAAAACAAATTTGATAAAATATCTTCATATGATATAATTCGAAAAGAGCACAAGACCTCAAAGCTATCTTCGGGCTTTTCAAGATATAGACAACCTTCATTTAATTGCTTCGTAAACCACAAATAGCCAAACTGTCAAATAGCATTAAAGTGAGGTTATCTGAAAGAAAGAAGAAGAAAAACATAGAGCTGGATTATTCTGGCATTTTATATACATAGCTGCCCGGTTTTGGGTCAGCTGATAAAAGCCGAAAAAAACGCAGCTCTCTGTTGGAGAACCTTATTTGATAATAATGATGAAATGTGTAACGCATAGAAGAAGACATCTCGGAGTCCATGAAGTATATATAGTCCAGATCAGCATCACGTAGTATATATGTTGGAACTGGCCGAATCGGAGCACTATAACATATAGCTGCCATAGGAACAATCGGTTGAAAATTAGGTTCTTCTATAGAAAACCTTTTTTTTTTGTATTTCAAGATATCTTATAGGTTTCAGTTCGTTTCTCATATATATGCAAAATCCTTTTCATATCGGACCACGATATCATATAGCTGCAATAGGAACTATCGGTCGAAAATTAGACTCTTGTATGAAAAGCTATTTCGTTTATCAAGGTATCTCGATCAAATTTAAATTATTTTGTTTAAATATGAGGCAAATCTTAGCAAGATCGCACTACTATATAATATAGCTCTATAGGAAGAATCGGTCGAAGAATGAGTTATTGTATGGCAAAATATTCTGCTTTGCAACATATTTTTCCCACACCGTATATATGTATATCGCGTAAGGCAAATGTCTATAAGGGTATTAAAGCTTCGGTGTGCCGATAATCTTACTTTCCCAGTTTTTAACTTTTTATACCCTGAACCCATTGAAAATGGGTAAAGAGGGTATAATGTATTTGTGCCAATGTATGTAACAGGCAGAGGGAAGCATCTTCGAGTCTATAAAGTATATATATTCTTGATCAGCATTAATAGCCGAGTCGATTTAGCCATGTCCGTCTGTCCGTATGTATGAACGCAACGATCTCAGAACCTATAAGAGCTAGAGACTTGAAATTTTAGCTGTAGGTCCGCCTAGTCCCCGCGCAGATCGAGTTTGTTTCCGATATTCGATAACTTGCCCCGATTCCACGTAATCGATAAAAATATCGAAATCGAAAATATCGAAATCCTGTTTTTTGGGCAATTTTGGTAAATAATATGAGCTAGAGTCACCAAACTTGACATGTAGCTTCTAGAATAGTATATATATATCAAGTATCTTTCATTTTATACCTATCTCCAGTTGGAAGAAGATGGTTCAGGGTATCCCCTAGTCTGGAGCTCCTGACTAGAACCTCTTACTTGTTTTCTGTTTTAAGTTTTCAATTTTTGCTCTGGCAGCCGAGTTCGCATAGGACTTAATTCACATAGGATAAGTCCTTGAGGCGTTGTGTACGGTATTGGTTTATTGGTATATATTTCGCGTTCTGATATACGCACTCGTTTCTTAAACTTTTTTCTTGCTCCGAAATTGATATCGACTCACTTCTCAAGAGGTTACGAACTGGAACTATGCTCCGTAACGCCAGGTCTTTCGGCGTGTGCAGAAGACGGCTTCCGACTAAATCCATTCGCAGTGCTTTTTCACGGCAGATCAGTTCTTTCGCCTGCTGGAGAAAGCGTAAGCTCTCAACGTGCGCAGCTGGCTCCGAGCAATCTGCGAGCGTGGAAAAACTCAGATGGGGCGGGTTTACCTATTCGGGCACGTACTAGCTGAAGTATAGGCAGATACTTACTATCTTTTTTTCCGCTGGCTTCTACTTTTATGTGATCATTATATTGGCTCTAAATATATTATGATATAGGGGCACAATTTTGAATCAATTGCATTCTAAATTTTTGAATAGTTTTCTAACCGACTTTCCATTACAAATTTAGTTTGGCATTCAGTTAAAGTTGAATATCCCGCAGTATTATACATACACTTTGGCTATTCAAGTAACTCCCCGTTGACTGGAAAACTTAAGCGGACACAATGCTTCGGTCATCCAAAATTTGTTCTTGATATACATAAGCCAAGCTGGCAGTAAATAAAGTGGGACCAATTTCGAATTTAGATAGACGAATATACCGAAAGGACTTCCATTTGGAAAATACTGACAATCAAAACAGATCGCGGCAAGTCTTTTTCTTTTGAAACTTTTACCTGCACGCTCTTAAACTAAAGATCAATCAACTTTCTTATTATAATACTTAAAAAAAAAAAAACAAATAGAATATATAATACTTTTTGTGTTTACTTTAGATCGCAGTTGTTTAAGTGGAGCACGAATTTAGTTTTGGACACACTCTTGACATCGGGCACAGCCTGGAAACAACTGAATTTCAAGAAACGACTTGTGGCTCGTCGAGCTCCATTTCGGGAATTAACCATATTATGTTTACTTCTTGAATTGCTTTTTTTTTTTTTGGGGCAAGAATTGTGTTTGGGTATTGTAAGAAATGGCCCGCAAGGGGTTTGATTAGGTTTCTTGTACCCTTTACGCTCTAGAAATTCCTAATTTTCGGATCTGACAAATTCCCATCATGATCTATATATAGAAATGATGTATATATATTCCTATTTGCACAATCAGTCAGATGCTGCTTAGCCTATCATAAATAGTAGATCTAGATAGTTGTATTTTAATTTAGGTACAGGGTATCGCCTAGTCGAGCAGTCGCCACTTTGGCACCTGATGAATTTCATGTTTGTGTTTCAACAGCTGTCGAAAAAGACAATAAGAACAGAAGCCAGGCGGATAGAGATAGAAATATTTTTATTTGTTATCCGAAAAGTAGAAATGCGGGAAATGTAGGAGACGAGAGTGCTCAAGAAGGAAGAGAGAGAGAGAGAGAGAGAAAGTGGGAGAGAATGACAAAGAAACCATGAACAAAACAGATAAAGAAAAACAGAGAGTAGAACAAAAGGTATTGAGAGTGAGATAACTGTGGGTAGGATAGAAAAAGAGAGGGAGAGAGAGCGATAATAAGATTGGAATAAAGAGAGAGAGAGATAACAAGTTGAGGATAAAGAGAGTGAGAGAGAGACAGCACAACAAAAAGCAAGGTGATATCTTAGGAAGGGAATATAATAGAGATGAGAATACATTACACAGAGGCAGAGAGAGAGAGAGAGAGAGAGAGAGAGAGAGAGATGATACAATGAAAACCAGAATAGCATAGAGAGAGAGAGAGAGAGAGTCTCTCCGATAAGTAGACTAACAAAAGTAGGATAGAGACAAAGAGAGAGAGAGCACAGTAAAAAGCAGGATGATATCATAGGAAGGGAATATAATATTATATGAATATAATAGAGAGGAGAATACATTACAGAGAGAGAGAGAGAGAGAGAAAGAGAGATGATAATAATAGCGTAGAGAAAGAGAGAGAGAGAGAGAGCACAACAGTAAGCAAGAAATATAAGGAAATATAGTAGAGAGGGGATTATAATACAGAGTATCTCTAATAAGTATAGACTAGGTAGGATAGAGAGAGAGAGAGAGAGAGAGCACAATACAATGCAATATCATATCAAAGTAAGGGAATATAATTGCTAGAATAAATGCGCGAGTGTATAATACAGTCAAAGGGACTTACGATATAAAGAGTAAGGATGTTTGCATTTTGACGTGGATGAGAGCGAGATAGACTGCGATTTTGAACGAAAGTGTGAATATGAAAGAGAGAGAGCAGGACTATGAAGAAAATCATATTGTAGACAGAGAGCATAGATAGAGAGGGGATAGTCAAGAGAATGTGAAAGCAAGAGTTCTATGAAATATGAGAGAGGGAGACGGAGCTATGCGAGAATGAGAGGTAACAAATAAAGGAGTAGTAGTAGTGGGGGAGAAAGTGAGAGAAATATGATAAAACGAGGCAAGTTGAAGGAGTATTTTCGCGTCTGATATCTTTTTTATTTGTTTTTTAAAAATGTTGCTAAAACTACGTTAGTATCATAGAAAAATAAAACAAACTTCACATAAAAGGGCACAGGTTACAAGGTGGGGGGTACAGAGTACGTATAGCATCAAGGGCATGGCTTACAGGGTATAATATAGTCGGTATTAGCTAAACTAACGCTATTTACAACACATACAATTGAAATAGAAATCGAAGCAAAAACTGAAACAGAACGTGGCCAACACAAATGTGAGCGGGACAGCAAATGGCATACATGAATGGCCTCCAGCAGGCTGACGGGAAATGGGGTAGGGGGCGTGTGGCATTTAGCCCGTCTTCAGCTTGTCCTTTTTGGAGCTCTCCAACTGGCGATGTGCGCGCGCCGCATAGGCATCCTTCAGCTGGTTAATCACATTGGCAAAGAGCACGGTGCCAAAGAAGACCAGAATGGTGCCCAGCCAGTGGCTGAGGGTGAACGGATTGCGGAAGTAGATGATGGAGAAGAGCAGCGAGACGAACTTGCGCAGCGTGACCACCAAAGTAACAGTGAGCGAGGCGCACTCCGTGGTCAGCACATAAACCGAGCTGATGCAGATGTACTGGGTGACCACATTGCACAGCAGATAGAAGAGCATCAGCGGAAAGGCCAGAGACCAGCTGAGGCCTGGCACGGGCACAGCCACCGTCTCGGAGGCAACAGCAATGTTCCAGTGTTGGGCTATGTTGCTGGCCATGATTAGGAATCCGGGCAGGGGCAGCATGTGCGTAAAGAAGAGCGCCTCGCTGGGATGCTTGCCATTGCGCTTGTAGATAATCTCCTGGTAGATGCCCATGTACGCCGTGACCAGCAGTGCGACGGTGAGCAGAGCAATGCCCACGCTCCACCAGAAGAAGTCCGAAAAGGATGTCTCCACCTTAAGAGTGGGATGCGTATTATCCTTGACATCGCCACTGGATACCAAAGTGCACAGTATGATGCCCACTGTGATCATGGCCACGGAGCTGTATTGCCTCAGATTGTAGCGCTTCTTGAGCAATATGATGCCCATGATCATGTTGGCCATCAGCGAGCCGCTGCGAAAGATCATGTGCAGGGGCATGGGTATGTTGAAGTTGAACGCATAATTGTTGCACACATTCGCGCCAAAGAAGAGCACCACGAGCTTCACGTAATCTTTGAGCGCGATCTTCGGACGCACCGTAAAGAACTTCGAGGTGAAGATGAGACCCTCCAGCGCAATGAAGAGGAACTGCAGGAATGTGATCAGATTGCCCGCACCGGGATCTATTTTGATGATCAGCTCCAGGAAGACGACGTTGCTGCAGCAGCCGACAAAGACAAGGAGCATGGCAAGCAGAGCCTTCATATTTAACGCCATGGTGAGTCTTCTGTGGGGCTGCAAGAGAGAGTGAGAGTGAGAGTGGGAGAGAGAGGGTGGTGGGGATTAATTGATAGCCTCAAATTGTTGGCTAATGATGAGCAGCGATTTTGCGTGGCTTATCAGCAGCGCTGCCGACGCCGGCATTTGGTGTCGTCTGGCACGCAGCTGATAAGGCGCGCTTCACCTAGCCGGGCACACACACACACACACACGCAGACGTAACGCATGTGCGTGTGTGAAGGAAGGAGCCTTGAAACTCACCGTTTAACTGATTCGTTGACTTGTTGAAATTACAATTTTCCGCTGAAATGTTGCCTCAGCTTTTGTTGTTGTTCTCCGATTAATTCTGTTGTGTCATGCCGCGTTTGGCATTTGGTGGAATAAATCAATTAATGTTCAAGCAATACACACACACACACACACACACACAACAAGCACATGTGTATTTAAAGCACAAACCTGCCTATTAATATATATTTGTTGTTGTTGCTATTTGTTCTCTGGCCTTCGCTCTCGCTCTCCCTCGCTTCTTCTCAGTCTTGGTCAACGCATTTGAATGGAATGACCTTCAATTTCAGCTCTAGAACACACAACTTAGCTAACTTTAACGCTTGCAAGTGTCAATTTTTTGTTATCGTATTTGCTGCACTTGTGTGCATGCAATATATTTGTTGCCTTTACCGTTTTTTTTGGTCGTTAAGCGGCGCCGTTACAGTTACTGCTGCTGCTGCCGTTGCTGTTGTTGTTTTGGTTGTCGATCAGCTGGAATCAATGCGGGACTCGCGTTCGTTCGATAACAAGCACATTTCGTTATCGAACGTCAACAATTTAGGGCTAGAAAATGCCAAAGGCGTTTTCCATGCTTGCAGCGTTGCCACCTGCACTAAAATAGTTTGCCTTTATTTGAAATTCAATTTTAACGGAAATAAATATATATATACCCAATGCGATTTTCACACAGCAGCAGCTTGCAGCGAAAATGCAACTGTTTTCAGCGTTGCCACCTGCACTAAAATAGTTTGCCTTTATTTGAAATTAAATTGTAACGGCAATTAATATATATACATAACCATGGGATTTTCGCACTGCAGCAGTTCGCCGCTAAAAAATGCCAAACTGTTTGCAGCGTTGCCACCTGCACTAAAATAGTTTGGTTTCATTTAAAATTCAATTGTAACGGCAAAAAATATATACATATATATGTATGTACCCAATGGGATTTTCACACTGTATTTCCGTATTTATTTGAAATTAATAAGAAACGGCTGAAACAAAAATATAAATAAATGCTCACAATGTATTAAATGATAATTAAAAATGTAACGCCAAGATAATATTCCGGAGCTTGGCTGACAATAGGTTTATATGCATATAAAAATAAAACACTAGATAAAGATATAGCACCTTTTAGGAGAAGATACATGGAAGGAAAACATTTAAAATTCGGTTAAAAGATAACAAACGCAACTAAAATTAGAAATAATAAAAATGTTTTCGGCTATGATAAAAATATTGTTACAATGATAGCAAATCCCAAATCAAATATCGCCAATAATCTCAAGTGTTTCTGAAGCATCAAAGTTAAACTCTTTTCACATACCCATTATCAGCAGCAAAATAAAATGTTGATGGTATAATTTAGGGGCTATTCGCGTTACGAGCTGTAAAAGTGCAATGTCAGTTTTATGGCAAGCAGCACACAAATCCCTGATCTTCACACAGCAAATCTTTCGGTAGGCTTCGTGGTCGACGCAATATGACGCAAATATCAGTCTTTGCTTAGCCTTTGCCACAAGATGTACATCCACGTTTTACAGCTGATTATCTTGGCCACATTCCTGGCGGGCACCAGCCAGGTGAGCGCGATATCAAATCCTGGCGATAACAAAGATAGACGAGTCGGACAAGTCCGATCCTGAATAACTTCGGTGTTTATTGTCCGATCTTTATGAAATTTTTTGGGGCATAAAAAAAACATACAAATGTACATATATAAATAGCAAGGCCCACGGATATATCTTGAAGAATTAGTTGTTTTTCTCATAGGTTTCTTGTTTTTTATTATTAAATCGATACTTATCGATTTTCTTACAGCTATCGCTGCCCACCGATAACACTTACCATGCCGGCGTTGTCGAATATCCGGACGAGACGGGCACCCCAAGGGAGCGCACCACAAAGGCCACCGAGGGCTTTGTGGCCATATTGGAGTCGAATGCTACGGCAGATCTCGATATACTTGTCTTTCCCGAGTCTGTGCTGAGTAATCTGGAGATGGCCACCTTTGTGCCGCATCCGGCACAGAATATAACACCCTGCTATTCGCCCGATTACGAGCTGTTCCTGGTGGAGTTGTCCTGTGCGACGCGCTCGCGCGGCATCTATGTCGTGATCAATGTGGTGGAGAAGGAGCTGTGCGGCGATAATTACGGCTCCGATACGCTCAATCCGTGTCCGTCCGCTGGCTTTCGTTATTTCAATACGAACATTGTGCTGGATCGCAGCGGACGCGTCGTCTCCAGATATCGCAAGAGTCATCTCTGGCGGCGCGAGTATAATACACGGGCCACAATGCGACAGCCGGAATTGGCCATCTTCGAGACGGACTTCGGTGTCACATTTGGTCATTTCATATGCTTTGACATGCTGTTCTATGAGCCGGCAATGCAGCTGCTGCTCGAGCGCAATGTGACGGACATAATTTATCCGACATATTGGTTCTCGGAGCTGCCATTCTTGGGCGCAGTGCAGCTGCAGGAGGGGTGGGCGTATGCGAACAATGTGAATCTATTGGCTGCCGATGCCAGTCAACCCTCCGGCCGGACCTCCGGCTCCGGCATCTATGCGGGGCGCGCTGGCCGCCTTGCTGCCGTCATCCATGAGCAGCCCACGCTGCAGTTGCTCAAGGCGCATGTGCCCAAACGTACGCCCACAACGGTCGGGAGCGGCAGCGGGGACGGTGGCAGAATACCCGAGCTGCCGGCGCAGGTGGTGCCCGCGTTCGAGCCGCAGCTGGTTACGCCACGCTACACAGAGCTCGCCACCTACAGGGACTACAATGTGGATATATTTAGCACGCGCCTGCTGGAGGCGGAGTTTCAGAATGTGACGCAGCGCTTGTGCCACGGCGACTTCTGTTGCAGCTTCCAGCTGCAGCGTCGTCCCACTTCCATTTCCGTTTCCAGCACCACCACCAGCTATGCCTCATACCGCTATCGCCTCGGCGTTTATCTGGGCAATCGGACCGCTCTCATTCTGGTCGACCGCAGCGAGCTGGCGGTATGCGCCCTCTTCGCCTGCCTGGACGAGCAGCTAAGCAGCTGCGGTCGCATCTATCCCAAGCACATCGATGTGGCCAATCGCTTCTACTTTGAGCGCATTCGCATTGAGGGCAATTTTCCGGCTGCTGCCCGTCGCCTCATCATGCCCAGCACCTTGGATGGCTCGATGATGCCGCTGAGCGTTGCGCAGTTCAATTGGACCGAATCGCCGCCGGCCAAACAGTTGCTGGCCACACAAATCCAGCTGGAGCTGCTGTTGCCCAAAAACGACCTATTGACCTTTGGCATTTGGGCCAATTACTTTACCCAGCTGCCCAGCACGCACAATTTGAATCATCTCCAGCCTGCGGCTATGCCTGCTCCGGCCGCCAGTGCGCCCAATGCCAGTGCAGGTGTTCCAGGTGTTGCAGGTGGTGCAGGTGGTGCAGGTGGTGCTGCGTCTGCAGCCGTCTCAATCCTGTGCCTGCTGCCACTTTTACCGCTCCTTCTGCAGCTGTAGGCAACGGCATCTGTTTCTAGCCAGGCTGCTGGTTCGGCTCGTGGTTTGAACCAATGTCTTCTCCCTGGGACGGTTCGATTCGTGTACAATTTCAACCCGAATCTTGGCCCGACACATTTTTTACTTTTAACTAACTAACAAATTATTACAAAGATCATTTATTATAATATATATTCAAAAACTTTATAGACAAAATTAACAATTTTTTAAATACTAAGCAGTTTAATTTTCGGCACACCGAAATTGAAATACCCTTCGCTAGCTGTGAAGCTCGTAATTGCTGAGCTTGATGAAGATATTCGAAAAACCAGAACAGTTTTGCATACAAAAACTGATTTAATGATGCAAGAACTTAGTTTGCCACCAATCATTCCCTTATCCTATATGATATAGTCTTTCGATCCAGTCGCTTTCTACATAGAATAAGTTCCAAGTAGATTACTTTACGGCTGTGGGAGTACTTTCTAGAAATATAGAAAGACAGACTTTATAGACTCGTCAATTAATACTGATCACGAATGCAATGAAAACAAGTAAGGGGTTCTAGTCGGGAGCTCCCGACTAGGGAATACCCTGAACCCTCTTCTTCCAACTGGAGATAGGTATAAAATGAAAGATACTTGATATATATATACTATTCCAGAAGCTACATGTCAAGTTTGGTGATTTTAGCGCTTAATATTTACCAAAATTGCTAAAAAAAAACAGGATTTCGATATCGATTACTTGGAAACGGGGCAAGTTATCGAATATCGGAAACAAACTCGATCTGCGCAGGGACTAGGAGGACCTACAGCTAAAATTTCTCTAGCTCTTATAGGTTCTGAGATCCTTGCGTTCATACATACGGACAGACGGACGGACATGGCTATGAGATTCTTCCTTCTGCCTGTTACATACATTTGCACAAATACATAATACCCTCTTTACCCATTTTCAATGGGTTCAGGGTATAAAAACAACTCCGAGCTGATAAAGTAGATTTATTCTAGATCAGCATCAACAGCCGACGGTCCAAAGTAGGCTATTGTTTGGGAAAACTTATTTGTTTACGAACATATCTTGACCAAACTCGGCATTTATGAGTTTCACTATATTTCTCATATCTATGCAAAATCTTCTTAAGATCAGACAACCATATCATATATCTGCTATAGGAACGATCGGTCGAAAATGAAGTTCGTGCATGGAAAACATTTTTGTATATCAAGATTTTTTTTTACTATCTAACCTATGCTGTTTATACATTAATCAAGTCTTATCAATATCGCGCTGCTATATTATATAGCTCTATAGGAAGAATGGGTCAAAAATTGGATGGCAAATTATTCTCTATTCCAAGATATTTTCCCCACACACGGCATCTACGATCTTCACTATGCTCGCCCATCGGCAAAAGCGTAAGACAAATGTCTGCAAGGGTATTAAGTCTTCGGCGTGCTCAAGATATTCTTACTTTCTCGTTTTTTCTTATTTTAATAATATATATATGTTTTGTCAACTTTAAATAATATATATTCTTTTTATTCCATTACACACAAATTTGACTACTTTGAATATATATATTGCAGATAAGATAATTCCTCATAAATCTTAACAAGCTTCCAAATTGACCTATAAAATTGTAACAAACGCAAAACGTGTGGCGTGTGGCGTGTAATAAACCATTATTCAGAATGATTGACATAATTAATGATATTTGACAAGCCGTAGAAATGCATTAAGGTCTTATATCTGGCGTTGCTTTAGATTGTTGCTCAGCTTTTCACATATTCCATTTCCACTCGTCGTTTAAACATATTACAATTAAGTGTATGGCCTTTAATTGTAAAGTTATAGAACAAACATTGAAATTAGGTGAATTTGCACAAGCTTTCACCTCTATTTTCCACTGAAGCGCGTGAATTAATTAATAAAGATTCAATACCCATTTGGCCTACGCTTTTGCAGATACGTGAGAGAAGTAAATATATAGACGGCCATGGCTATATCAAATCGTCTGTCGATGCTGATGTAGAATTAATGAGGTCGAAGATATCTACGTTTGCATACAAAATATTCCATATTACAGACTTTCGCCTATGTTTCACCACTTTGGGTGAACAAAATGGAAAAAGAGCTAAGCCTCGTGAAATGCTAATTAGACTTGATCGAGTTATGGGGGTGGGAAATTTTGACCTATGAACTATTGTCCAAAAAAAATGTTGCCAGATTAAGATGCCAAATTGATCTAGAGGCCGAGTTTGGTCTAGATATCTTGATAAACAAAACAGTTTTTTATACAAGAGCCTACTTTTCGTATGTTTGCATGCATGTATGTATGTGTGTATGTAAGTATGTGTGTAATAATGTATGTGTGCATGTATGTAATTCTGCATATGCGTGCATGTGTGTATATTTATATGTATTAAAGCAAGTTTGTATGAATGCATGTATGTACATACATACATATATAAGAATTTATGTATGTCTGCATGCATATGTGCATGTGTGTATGCATGTATGTATATATGGGTATATTATGGTTACATGTACATATGTTAATGAATGAATATGTTTATGTGCCAGACAAAGTTTACCTCTAGCTGCGCTGCAAATTCAAAGAAATCGTTTTCTCAAATAAAGCCCTACTACGCGATTCTCATGAATTCAAGTAAGGCTTCACTTTAAGTGGCGGCTTAATATTGGAGGAGGCGGCTTCAAATAAGGAGGAGACGGTGGCCTTAATATTTGAAGAGGCGGCTTTAACATTGAAGGAAGAGGATTCAATAAGGACGCGGCGGCTTTATTTCTGAGAGACGGCAACTTGAGCAGAGCAGGAGACGGTGTCTTCAAATGCGGCGGCTTTACTATGCAGAAGGTGAAGGCTTTAACGTTAGAGGAGGCGGCTTTAATATAAGAGGAGATGGCGGCTTCAACTATGAAGGATGCGGCTTTAATTATTGATAAGCGGCAAGTTGAGAAAGGAGGCGGCGGCGGCGGCTTAAACTAGAAAGGAGGCTATGGCTCTGGCGAAGGCCATTGAAAAAAGTGGTACGTATTATGAACAAAACTATGTCTTATTATGTTTCAAATAAAAGTAACAACTATTACAACCATGTTGCATGTTGGTTTGCATGTTGGTTTGCATGCATTTGAATATGTATCTATATACATGTCTATGTTGAGCTAAACTGAAAATGAACAAGAAACGTGTTTACACATATTGCTCTACTATGCGATTCTCACAAATTCAATAGGGTTTGGCAAATAATTGAATTTAATGCTGTATTGAATGAAATTCCACCCGCAAGTGTGGAAAAGGAGCGAAAAACGTTCATATGTTGCCTTTTATTTACCAGCAAATTGGCATCAAACTCATTTTCTAAGATCTTTGTTCAAATTCATTTGAGAGGTGTTTCATACTTTTCGAGAAGTCCATTCCGCCTTGGTGGAAATGGGTGTCAAAAATTTGATGGATGAAGTATTTGGGCTTAAATTCACTTCCAACGATCTTTACGAACGTCTCCTAGACTTCTCCGGCTTCTCGCCGGGCAGATCTACAGTGACCAATTTAGCGATTTTCTACAACTTTTGTATCCAGAGCTTTGAGCGTCGTTGTCAGGTCGATGCAGTGCATACTGACTTTTCTAAAGCCTTCGATAGGGTCAGTCATGTCGTTCTCGTTAAGAAACTGTCTAGGCTGGGGTTTTACTCTTCTTTATGAAGCTGGTTTAAATCCTATCTGTCTGACCGTCATTATCTTTTATTTGCCGATGACCCTAAAATATTCAAATGCATTTCGTCTCAGCATGATGTTATGTTGTTTTGCAGAAGGACTTACACAACTTGTCTGTATGGAATAGTCATAACCAGTTACCACTGAACTTAGCTAAATGCTATCACATCACATTTAGCAAATGTTCTTCTGCCATTCTGTCATCCTATTCCATTAATGGGCAAAAACTTACTCGTAAATCAGTAGCTTTTTACTTAGGAGTAACTTTTGACTCTAAGTTCTTATTCATTTAGCATATAAACTATATTATGCCTAAGGCGTATGCGATAGTTGGGTTCGTTACAAGATTATCTCTATATTCGGCCTTTGTGCGGTCAATATTAGAGTATGCTTCTTATATCTGGAGCCCATCCGCAATTGTGCATACGAACAGGATTGAAAGGCTGCAAAAACAGTTTTTAAAATTTAATTTACATTGCCTTAACTTTGCCTTACCACCAAACAGAGCTAGGTGTCGACTACTGCATTTGTCATCTCTGGAAGATAGGAGAATGATTTCAGCACTGCTTTTTTTTAATCAACTTAATTGTAGGAATAATTGATTGCCCTTTTCCTTCTTGCTCGCGTTCATTTTAATGTGCCGAGCAGATCTTTGCGATACCATTTTTACCACCGTTTTCTGTGGGGACTCATAGAACTGCTTATGCAAGTAATGAGCCTATGATCAGATCACTAAAGCTTTATAATAGTCTACCAACTGAAATGCGTTTTGATTTTTCTGCCAATAGGGCTCAAGTTAAAAATAAGCTTCAAGAATTCTTCATTAAAAACTCATTATTCCACATAATAAAGCCGTTGGCTTTATTTTCACGATTCTCGTCCGTTCCGTACGACTCCGATTTTAGAATTGAATTCTTCTTTTTATTCTTCTTCTTGTTTTGCTCGAAGTACTTCAGGCATATTGCACTAAGTTGCTTATTATCTCATCCTATAATATGGTTACATTGATACATTTAAATTTACATTCGATTGGTTGTCGATCTTACATTCGGCTAACCTGACTACAGATCGCCCACGATCTTACAATACATCTCACTTATTTATATGATCTTAGGTTATCTATATATATAGGTTAACGACATACATCTATTGTGTCGGATACACACTGAAGCCATGGCTTGAGCCTAGCTGGCTCTAATATACTACAGTATGGCATCTGAGTCAATTGGCAATCTTCAATATCAACCACTTCATAACGGTCGTTGTCAAAGACTCGGCCACGATATTTTGGTGCGAATTTTGTATTAACTCCTATTGTAGTGTCAACATTACGAATGGCCACGTAATCACCTATTTGATACGTTAACGGGGCCTTATGTTTCTAGCCATATATTGTCTTATTTCTTAGCTGTGAGCACAAAATATATTCACTAGCTTTCTTTCGCACCGCATTAAGATTTCTCTCCTCTATGTTTAATTTATCCTCTAAATAT